AAATCCGATCCAAATCGAATTTTTAGGTTGATCCAAATAATGCACAGCCCTAATTGTGATCGTCTAAATATGAACGGTTCATTGTTGTTAAAATATAAATTTGAAATTTAAAGTTATATATAAAAGAAAGAAGTAATAGTCCTTACTCGCGTGATTTATTTTACAAGTGGAGTTTAATAGCTTGTTTGATCAAGCTTCTAAAATCAACTTATTTACAGAAGTATTTTTTTTCTTTTCAAAGTGCTTTTCAAAAAGGTATTTACGGTGATAAACAATTAGTGTTTGGTTACTTAATTTGAAAGATACTTTTGAGCAACAATTAGTGTTTGATCAAACTTTTAAAAAGTGTTTCTAATTTGCTTCTCAAAAACTATTTCCGCTTCTACTCAAAAATACTTCTTTTCTTTTAAAAGCTTGATCAGACACTTTAACTTTGAGAAAAGATACTTTTGGAAAAAATGAAGATTGACCCAACAAACTATCTCTCTCAAGTTCTCATCAACACGAACCAAAATACATTGATTATATCTCACTTCAGAATTGAAACAAAAAATTCAAGTTTATCAAGCTGAAAAAACAAACGCCATTGAGAAAGAAACAAAATAAAGTCAAAGCTTTTACTACTATTATAATAGCCTATTTGGCCAAGCTTTTAAAATTTAGCTTATTTTGAAAAGTGCTTTTCTCAAAAGTATTTTTGATGAAAAGCAGTTTGTGTTTGGCTAATTAATTTGAAAAACACTTATGAGCAACAATTAGTGTTTGGCCAATGTGACGACCCGACCCGTCGTCTCATGTGTTATTGCTCCGTTTCCCCCATTTCATGTTTCTTCATGTTTCGTTATCGGTATGTGGTGTGTTAGAGTTGATTTGGATTGGTTTTGATAAGAAATGAGACACTTAGTCTCTTTAAGGAAGGCTTAAGTTGGAAAGGTCAACCGGACGTTGACTTATGAGTTAGAAGGCTCGGATGTGATTTCCGGTGATTCGGTTAGCTACGGGGGATGATTTGTGACTTGGGAGTGCGATCGGAATTGATTTTGGAGGCCCGGTGTAGAATTAGGCTTGAATTGGCGAAGTTAGTATTTTGGCGATTTCCGGTTGATAAGTGATATTTTGATCCGGAAGTCGGAATGGAATTCCGAGAGTTGCTGTAGCTTCATTAGGTGAATTGGGATGTGTGTGCAAAATGTCAGGTCATTCGGACGTGGTTTGGTTGGGTTTTTGATCGAATGCGTGTTTTGAAAGATTTAGAAGAACTTAGGCTTGAATTCGATGTAAATTGATGATTTTGGTGTTGTTTGAAGTGTTTTGATAATTGGAACAAGTTTGGATGATGTTTTAGGATGTGTTGGTGTTTTTGGTTGAGGTCCTGGGGGCCTCGGGTGAGTTTCGGGGTGGTTTCGGATCATTTTGGAGAAGTTTGATATTGCTGGTTCTGGTGTAACACTGTAGCTTGGGAATTGCGAAGGATTTGCTGGGAATTGCGAAAACACTGTAGCTTGGGAATTGCGAAGGATTTGCTGGGAATTGCGAAAACACTGCAGCTTGGGAATTGCGAAAGATTTGCTGGGAATTGCGAAAACACTGTAGCTGGGGCAGAATGTTTAAAAAACATTTCATCCGAGTTGGGGTTATTTTCCACCATTGTTAAGCGACCTTGGGAGTATTTGGCGAGCAATTAAGAGGGTTTTGACTGGGAATCGATTGGAGGTAAGTCCTATGGCCTAGAAACGTCATTTTATTGTGATTTCAACACTTAAATTCATGGAAATTGGGTTAAAAAGGGAAGAACTAGGGCTTGGGTTTTTGAATGAGATTTTGGGATTTGAGGGAGCAAATGAGCTCCGATTCTTGTGATTTTTACATGTATAGACTCGTGGCGAGATAAGGAACATTTTGGTGCAAAAATTTCTGACTTTCGAGAAGTGGGCCCGGGGCTCGGGTTTTGCCAACTTAGTGAATTTTGGTGTTTTTCGAGCCTTTTCGATTGGGTTATGTTTCTTTAGCCTATTGTAATGTATTCGTTGTGGTTCTAATCAGATCCGGCGTGCGAAGAGGTTGATTCGAAAGGCAAAGGCATAGCGAGCTAGACTTGTGGCCGGCTTGAGGTGAGTAATAGATGTAGATGATGACCTGAGGGTTTGAAACCCCGGTATATTACATTGTGACGCTATATTGAGGCGAGACACGTACTCATATGACGAGTGCGAGGTCGATTGTGACTGGGGATTGTGACCTAGTCCGTTCCGATTGATGTTCGTACTGTGTTCTTGACTAGAAGTTGTTTGGTAATCATCCTACTTGGATTTTATGAATATGTTTGGGGCTTTGTGCCTATCATGTGCATTCTTCAGGGATCCTTATCGCTGCTTCCATGATGCTTAGCATATTTCATGATATCAGTCCTGAGTTAGACACTGCCTCGAAATGTTTAGTAAGTAAATAAAGGTTTAAACGCTTAGCTCTATAATTCCTAATAATTGAAACTAAAAAAAATGAACAATTTGACTGTGCCCGAGTGGCTTGTATGCATATATATATCTGGATTGAGTGTGGATCGGGCTGCACGCCGCAGCGAATGCTACGATGATATTGCGCTTGGGCTATAGGAGCCCCTCCGGAGTCTGAACCCCCACAGTGAGCGCGGGTACCCAAATGGATCGGGCTGCGCGCCGCAGCGGTCATGTGCATTGCATTGCATTCATGCATTTATACCTATTTGTCTTACTTGTCCTTGTATTGTTGTTGTTCTACCATTTTATGTGCTGAATCGCTGATTATAGCTTTATATTGTAATATTTAGGAATTTCTTACTTTCAGACATTATATATGTTTATTACTCACTGAGTTGGAAGTACTCACTTTACTCCCTGCACCATGTGTGCAGATTCAGGTGCTCCGGAGACTTAGTGGAGCGGTTTGCTGTCTTCTTGGATTTTATCTTCAGGAGTTGTCGAGGTAGCTGCCTGACGTCCGCAGGACCCGACTCCTCCCCTTTATTTCATTTATTTCTTTCATATTCTAGACTTCTTTATCACTATGGATATATATTACTCTATTACATCTAGAGGCTCTAAACTCGTGACTCCAGATCTATTGGGGAATGTTTGGAATATTCGTTATTATTTTTCGTACTATTTTATCTAGATTCGGATTGGAACCTTGACATTTGCTATTTTAATCGTATTATTTGTTAACGGATTACGTATTTGGGTTGAGAATATTTAATTGGTCGGGCTTGCCTAGCATCAGTGTTGGGCGCCATCACGACCGGGATTGGGGTCGTGACAGCCAAGTTGTAAAAAAGTGCTTCTAAGAGCCAGTTTGGCCAAGCTGCCAAAAACTACTTATTTTGAAAAGCGCTTTTATTCAAAAATGCTTTATGAAAAAGTACTTTTGCAAAATAAGTAGTTTGTGTTTGGCCGATTCGTTTGAGTAGTGCTTTTTGCAAGCTCATCGTGTTTGGCCAATCTTTTAAAAAAGCACTTTTAAGTATCAAATTACGAAAAAGGACAGTAAAGATTCAATTTGCGATTAATATTATTTAGAAAAGAAAAATTAAATTTAAACATTTATTATAAAAGAATTCAATTAAAATATAAAACGTAAAGTAAAAATATAAATTAGAAATTCTAATTAATATAAAATGTAGTTATTCCAAAGCAACAATATTGAGTGTTTGGTATTACTTATTATGTACATGATAATTTAAATATGTCAAAATACATCATTCAGTATAAATTTAAAATCTCTTAAGAATAGGAAAAAGATAATAAAAATTTGATTAAAATAAAAAAGAGAATAAATGTATAGCAGAAAAAAAACGAAAAGGAAAAGGAAAAGAAAAAGAAAAATTAAATTACTGAGAGATAATTTGAAATATATAAATTTATTGTAAGGTTATTTTTTTTCTTGAATAAATTAACTTTCTACTTCTGCTTTTGCTTTTTAGAAGAAGCTAGAATTTGTAGCTTCTCCCTAAAAGCAGAAAAACTGCTTCTGCTGCTGCTAAGAAGTACTTTTTTATTTTGGCCAAACACCTTAAATTTTTCAAAAAGTACATTTGGCCTCCTAGAAGCTTGGCCAAATAGGCTCTAAGTGTAATTTTTTCAAAAGCACTTTTCAAAAAAGTGTTTCTAGAGAGAAGCTACTTATTTTGCTTCTCCAAAATTGCTTTTGCTTCTACTCAAAAGCACTTTCTTTTCTTCTAAAAGCTTGGCCACCACTTCAACTTTGAAAAAAAAAAGAACATTTTTTGAGTAAAAAAATGAATAATTTTGGCCTTGGAGAAGCTTGGCCAAACAGGCTATAAATAGACAAGCAGAAGGGGGCTTAGGAGCAATGGCAAAGTTATTTTCGTGTGACATATAGGTCACGTAGAGCGAAGCTCCATGTCTTAAAGGGTGGTCAATTGACCACCATTTGTCGAAAAATTACAATGTGTATACTAGTAAAACATTAAGTTCTAGAGGAATACATAATTTATTGATCACCCTTTATCAAAAAAAAATTTCGCTTCTCTCAAGTTTAAACACCCTGAATATAAATCCCTAGTTTCGCCATTAGGTGACGGTTTCAAACCATGAAATCAGCCATTGATGCTTGCATCAAGGTAGATTGCCTACATTACATCTTTTGGGGTATGGTCCTTGCCATCCTGCATGAACGCGGGAGGCTTCCTACACCGGACTGTCCGTTTTTGTTAAATAGACAAGCAGGAGGAACAAATAGGGGTCAAAGTAGGTCCCACAAAAAGAGCAAACCTATGCTGACATGTCAAATAATGTCCAAACTACGTGGCACCCAAAAGCAACATAACTGAACATATTATACCCAGCTTCCACGACATAACAAAATATATCCACGAGGTTTTAAAATCACACGTGGTCCTCTCATTCTACAAAACCCACCACCGCGTAGTCCAAAACACGGCCTGTTGACTCTCACTCTCTTCACTCTTTCACTCTCAAAACATAATACTATATATAAGCCGCCAATTCCAAATTCTTGTCAAAAGAAAAACCAAACCAGGACACGAAACCAAATATTATTCAATCAAAAAATTACAAAAATCACAACATTCTTGTTTTCTTTTAAAAGAATTTAACAACAATGGTGAAACCCAATGGAAAAGATTCTTGTGAAAATTCACCATCTTCATCTTCTTCATCGTCAAAGTACAGAGGAGTACGTAAGAGGAAATGGGGGAAATGGGTTTCAGAAGTTAGACTACCAAATAGCAGAGAAAGAATTTGGTTGGGTTCTTATGACACACCAGAAAAAGCTGCGAGGGCTTTTGATGCAGCACTTTTTTGTTTGAGGGGTAAAACTGCAAATTTCAATTTTCCTGAAAATCCGCCGGAAATAGTTAACGGTAGGTCCATGACGCCGGCGGAAATTCAAGTGGCGGCAGCCCAGTTCGCGAATTCGTATTCAGAGCCCCGGGTTAGTAATTGGGTTAACCCGAGAGATAATTCGGATCCTTCGTCGTCATCTTCGGAAATGTTTAATGCGGAGAGTCCGTCGGTTTCGGTTTCGAACGGATTAGTTGGGTTGGAAAGTGAAAAGACGGAAATGACCCTGGATAATGGATTTGTGGACATGTTTTCTTCAATGGGGACAGCAAATGACATGTCCGATTTTGGAATTTTTCCGGGTTTTGATGATTTATCCGGTGAATATTATGTACCACCATTGCCTAATTTGGACAATACTGCTGAAGAGAATTATATGAATTATGATGAGTTCCATTTACAAGGATCTTCGTTTCTTTGGAACTTTTGAAGATTCAATTTTTTTTGGGACTTAAAAGAAATGGTTAATATTATATGGTAGAAAAAGGGAATAATTAAAATACTACAATTGTAACCTCTAGTTGTTGACTTGTAGACAATTCTGGACATTTTTTTGGCTGCTAGAATTGCTACAAATATATGTGATTCTATACTTAGGAGGATATACTCTTGTTAAATTTCATCTGGCTGCAAAAGCTTTGTTCCATATAAGTTCTATGGGTTGTTATTCTAGGAAATGGAAATTTATTTTATACGTAATTCTCTTAATTCTTCCGTCTCATATTATTAGTCGTGATTACTAAAAATAGTTATCTCAAATTATTTGTCACTTTAGAAGTTCAAGACAAAATTGATTGTCTTTTTTCTTTTTTACCCTTAGTAATAATTATTCTTGAAGACTACAAACACCTCAATTATGAATAACTTTGTCAAATACCATTGAAGAAAGATTAAATATTAAGACATGAATAAGGGTAAAGTAGTCAAAATTCCATTCTAATTAATTTTTCTTAAGGAACGTGTACAAGAGAATCATGACAGATAATATAAGACGGAGGGAGTACAAGACAAGCCAAAGAATGATTAACTGATTAATTATCAAGATCAACTCTGCAACAGATTAATTAATTCCTCGTAACTGGGAGAAATAAAAATAAGTCAACACCTATTACATAATGTATAAGTTTTTTCCCTCTCGTAGCAAATATTAAAGAGAGTTCTAACTAGATCATGGGTTAGAGAGAGAAACTCCTACTTCTCTCTAACTTTCCTTAGCTTCCCCTTCCATGATCAAAACACCATTCCCCTCTCTCTCCTCTACTCCCCTCACCTTACCCTTCCCATCTCCATCGGTATCACCCTGTAAGCAAACCACTCAGACGCCAGATCAGAGAGGCCATGAGTCCCCACTAAATCTTACTACTATGGATGTAGACATGACCCAGAACACTCCCATCTTTGAAGGAAGGGGAAATAACTCAACACTAGAACCCTCCCATCACCAGCACCCCGGGAGTAACGAGCACACTAAAGAGTGCTCTTTCTTGAACAAACTAACAAACGACTCCCAAAGCCAGCAAGCTAAGAGTCATATTATTGTTCAAAGTAATGTGGGATCTCTTGATCCTTCAGATGAGGTCGAAAACCCTTTCGCCTCAGATGAGGTGGACAATGTCTTTGACTCGGATAGCTTCATCCCTATCACCTCCGGTGATAAGGAGCTAATGTACAAAAACTGGTCAAATGCCTTTATCATAAAAAATTTTGGAAGAAGAGTAGGATACATATTTCTACAATAAAAACTTCATGCTATATGGAAACCTTCGGAACAAATTTCACTAATAGACCTTGGAAATGACTATTACCTAGTAAATTTAACAAAAGAGAGAACTACGACAAAGCCTTACATGAGGGGCCTTGGTTCATAGGCAACCAATACCTAGCAGTAAGGAAATGGGAGCCTAGATTCGTTGCCTCAGAAGCCTCCCTAACTTACTCGACGATCTGGGCCAGACTCCCAGAACTCCCTACGGAGTTTAATGACTATGAAATCCTGGAAAAAATAGGTAATAAACTAGGACAGTTAATCCGTATAGACGCATGTACCTCATCAGCACTAAGAGGGAAATATGCAAGGGTCATACTGGTCCCAATAGACCCCTCAAAACTCATGTTATACTAGGTAAACACTACCAAAAAGTCACATACGAGGGCTTTAATCTCCTATGCACAAACTGTGGGAGGTTGGGACATGTACAACGGAGCTGCCCTAACCATCCTAAAGAAGAAGATCCAAACCAAGAAAACCAGGATACTAGCACAAAAGATATCCTCTCCCTAACTAAGGAAATTGAGCAATGGACGGTTGTATCTCACCATAAGAAACTAGGAAGAAAAGAAGGCGAAACTGGGAACCTCAACAAACAGAAACCAAGCCAAACCACTTCCAAGGACAAAAACCATGGTACAGAAAACTGAAGGAAAGACTTTGGACACCAACAAACCATGGAAACAGTAGCAACACAGCATCCCCATCAACAAAGTCAGAAGGTGAGGCACAAGGACAAGGCAAGCTCAAAGACTGGATGGATACTAAGCCCCCCCCCCCCCAAGTTAAAACCAAACAATATCCACTAGACAAACCACAAAACCAAGACACAGTCAACACCCAAGTCGGCGCTCATTTAATGAACAACAAAGCCATCCTAGCTAGTACACCTCTAAGGGATGGCTCAACAAGCTCTAATATCCAAAGGCCCACCCTAGAACCAGTGGATAAAGAAAAGAGGCAAATTACGCTAGGCACCTTAATCCAAAACCAACCAGACAAACTAAATAACAACATACCAAGACTTATTAATAATATTAAAGAACCTACAACATTGGCCATTAATACCATCAAATGCCAAAACAAATTTGAATCTCTTATGTCCCAAACTAGTATTAAGACCCTCATCCCTCAGAATAATACACATGTCCAATCATCCAAAACACAAACCTTATAAAATATGGAGATTGAACAGAACCTAAACGATATAGCAACCTCTAAAGTACTCAACATTGAGAGGAATATCCATTCACCATTTAATGCTTTCTCCTTGGAAAACAAATCTAGTACATCACAAACCATTCAAACTGCCATTGATGAGACAACCAATCCATTCCTCATTAATGAGCAAGACTTGATAATGGAGGACCCCAAGAGTCTTGACCTAGCCCAACACAAGGCCACGAACCCCCCTGTCTATTAATCAACCCTAAACCTTGTATGAAACATAACATTACTCAACCAGTAAAGCATCAAATCCCTAGCAGCCAAAATGCCAAGACTCCCCACGAACAACCACCATAGAAGGTTCTTCAGGGCAAGGAGGAACGTGTGGATAAGGTAACAACACCAAACACCCACTCTAACGCTGGTTATCCCTCCCATGCAACTGAACCAAAATCCCATTGTGTTCACAACTCTACCTCTCCCACCGAACCATGTTCCCCAATCATGGCTGGAACATTGTCTCATGGGACATGCACTAAGCATGAACCTCCAACTCAATGGCCAAAACATAATTATCCAAATAGAAAACCCGAGCTACCTACCACAGATAATAACGGGGGGACTCTGAATTGGAATGGACAACATTGCCATGAACCCATGGATAGCCCTACCAGTCCAACCAACACCACTATACCCCCCCTCTCAACCAGCGGGCTCATACCTCTGGAACTTCCAAAACATGAACCCTCACACCATCCCAAACCCAATAACATGAACCTACCCCTCTTTCACAACTTGAGCCAATCACCAAACCCAACCCCATTCTACTTTAATGGGAATCCACTCCAAACACAGATGACACCCTTCAGCATGCAGGGAAACCAAGTGATGAGCTACCCACGGCACGAAGCAACTCAGTAGGAGAACACAATAGTGGCTCCTCATACGACCCCCCTCAACAATAACAACAACGCCCAGACGGAGCATAACAACCAGGGCAACTTACCACAACAAATGGTAGAGGAGGAAGAAGAGGACGGATATCGACTACAACAAGAGTGGAATATGGAATGCTAAGAAACCCAAAAGCACTGCATTCAAGGAAAGAAGAGAAAAAAGGGTCATCTTATGCTGCCTTCAGGAATTGAGGAAATTCTCCTTGAACATCATAATGCTATCAGCACCAACCCTATTTAAATACGGGGTAGTGATGGTTCCAACCATGTACACTGACTACTGGGCCAATGCAACCCAACTGAGCCAGACAGGAATCCCGAATTCACAGAGCTTAGCCCACAATCAGGGGTGGAGCTCACAAACTAGGAATAACTCAATGACTATCATCATTTGGAACTGTAGGGGGCGGGAAACGCTAACTTTCGAAGAGCCTTTAGATCCATGCTGAATTACAACAGGCCAGTGTTGGTGGCCCTGCTGGAAACAAGAATGGAGGAGTATCACACAATCAGGAACGACTTTGGCTTTGACAACTTAATTCAAGTTGCTGCACAAGGTAACTCAGCAGGTATCGCAATCATGTGGAAAAATGGAGACATCACTGTGGATCAAATTGGCTCCACAGATCTGGAGGTCCATGCCATGATAAAGGTACCAAACAACCCTAATTCATGGCTTCTTTCTACTATCTATGCTAGCACTTTTCTAGAAGAAAGATTAATACTATGGAAAAACCTAAAAACAGTTGTAGATAATTTTAAAGGGCCCTGGCTTGTTGCAGGTGACTTTAGCAAAGTCACTAGGGCTTCAAAAAATTTCAGAGGTTTGTCGGTTAATAATAATAGAATCACGATTCCTCAGTTGTCTTGGCTAGTAGGTTAATGGATCTAGGTTTTAGAGGGTCTAAATACACGTGGACTAACAAAAGAAAAATACCCTAATTATGGAAAGATTAGATAGGTGTGTAGCTAACCCGAAATGGATTAATATATTTTAAGAAGCTCATGTTTCGCACCTGATGCGTACCCACTCAGACCATTGTCCAATAAAATTAGATCTTATAAAAAACTTTGGTAGAAGTGGGATTATCTTTAGAATTGAGTCCATGTGGACGTCTCACCCTACGTTCAAACCCCTTATTAGGGAAACATGGGCTAACCAGATGAACATTACCAACGCTATCCAAAATTTCACTGAAAAAGTTAATGATTGGAATAAGAACACCTTCGGAAACATCTTTAAAAAAAGAGAAAAGTCATGGCTAGACTAGAAGGTATTCAAAGATCGCGCAATTACCCAAATAGCCAGTTTCTTATAGATTTAGAAATTAACTTGATGGAGGAATATAAGAATATTCTTAAACTAGAAGAAGACTTCTGGAAACTAAAATCCAGAGTTCAGTGGCTTCAGAATGGAGATGCAAATACAAAATTCTTCCACACTACTACCATGCATAGAAGAAGGAAAAAATAAGATTCTAAGTCTCAAAGATGAGGGGGGGAATGGCATTATAACCCCATAGATATTAGTGAAATGATAAATAAAAACATTCTTGACCTTTACTCAACCAAGCAAGAGATGTCCTACAAAAATCTTACCTATATGTCCTACTATCTGACAATTCAAGAGTCAATATGACCTCTGCCTGACTGCTACAGAGATGGATATTAAACTTGCCCTCAACTCCTTCAAACCCCTTAAAGCTACGGGACCAGATGGTTCGCATCCTTTTTTCTACAAAAAATATTGGAATGAGACGAAGGACCAACTCATCAACTTCGTCATAAGTACCTTTGAGAATAAGCAAATGATAGAT